ATAAAAGAAGATCTCATCACTCAGATACGGTCCAGAGAAGGAAAACTAATAAAGGAATTGGAGAACTTGTTTCAGTTGGACGATGGTGATTACATCACTCTCGAAGAAGTTGCAAGGAAATCCCCCACAGAAAGAGCCGAGTTGGCAGCCGAGCTTGAGATTCATGCCGAAAAGTTGAACCTCGCAGTCCAGAGTTTGGGAGGCGATGAAGAAGATGAGGGTGAAGCAGGCCATGAGGAAGAAGTGGAAGCACCGAAAGCTGCCAAGGCCGAGGAAAGTGATTCTGAAAGCGATGAAAACCAAAGAAGAAGGGAAGCCCGCACCAAAAGAGAGCATGATTCCATGACGCATGAGGAGCGTGTTGTCACCTTGCTTCATCAACAGAACCGTATGATTGAAGAAGGCTTCCCGTACATGAAGACGCAGTTTGTTGCCGTGCACCAAAGGCTAGATCAGATTGAGGCCAGCTCAAGCCGTAGAGGAGGGAATGACGAAGAATCCGAGGAGAGCACCGATGAGTCGGGGAGCGAGTCGTTCTAGCTCGTTTTCCTTTTCTTAGTTGTTGCTATCGTCTTAGTTGTTGTTACTGTCTGTTAGTTGCTTGTTGCTTGCCTCGTGTGCTTGTTCTTGCTTGTTTGGTTAGTTGAATAGTTAGTTTTGTTGGTTGGTGCTTTGAGCCCATAATCCAAAATTCGATTAAGGGATTAATTGAGTAATTAATCCTAAACCAATTGGTAATTTAATTCCTTAAATTACTGAAAATACAATAGTCGGGGACTAGTAATTGACTAGTCAACCCAAAGTCAAGGTTGTACCTTAAGCTTTGTGAGGAGTTCCCTTGTTCCCTTACACCTCTTCATTTTAGTAAGGGTATTCATGACATTTCACCTTGTGTTAGTAATGCAAGCTAACCTAGTAGACACTCCTCATTCTTTCTCCTTACACTTTCCAAACTTTAGCTCTACCTTCAATCTAAAAGCTAGATAGCTTTTCTTCCAAGCCAAGTTGAAGCTTTGTCAAATCTTTAAGGGTTGTCTCCAAGATTCTACCTTTCATACCTTTGAGCATCTAGGAGGGTAAGATCTATGTTCATCTTGTGTTTTTAGTGTTTTCTAAGGTGTCTTTTCTTAAAGATAGAATCTTTATGATCTTTTGGTGTGTTCTTGAAGTGGGTTTGGAGGGTGAGCCTTATTAGGAGCTTGGTGAAGTGTTAAGTGAAGGTTTTTGGCTACAAGAGGTAACCCATGCTCTACAAAATCTATTTTTCTTACCTATTTGATGATTCATGGATTCTACATGTGTTTTGTTATGAAATGTGAGTGTTTATGCATTGTCTTGTGAAAATGCATATCTAGAGGTTGTTATTGGGGTTCATGTATGCCATTGCTTGGCTATTCCTTTGATTCAATTTATTTTAATGTATTTGGTGAAATTTGGCATGTTTTGGACTTGAATTTGAGCTTGGTGTTGAAAATCCCCGAAGGGATTATTTTGGTGTACAGGTACGTACTCGTGGGCGGAATAGCGGGTAGGCGTCCACCCGCCGCCCACCCGCGGGGTACATGTGGTCATGGGTGTGTACCCATGGGCGGAACCACGGGTGGGGGTCTACCCGTGGGTCCACCCGCGGGGAACATGTTGGTGTTGTTGGGGGATTTGTTCCCCGTGATTCTTTTGACTCGGTATTTGGTCTTTTGACTTCCCGATGTTCTTTTGTGGAACTATTTGAGCGTCTTCTTGATGTTTCGTATGCCTTGAACTATATGGTAGGAATCCATGTAGGTTTTGGTGTCTTGAATCGTGCTAAGTGTTCAACATTGTGATTCGTTGAACCGTGATGAGTCTTGTGTGTTCTTTGGAACTACGTTTGGTTTACCTGTTTGATAAGCATGCTAGTTCGGTGTTTAAATGCTAGCGTGTGTGTTGTTTGTACCTTCTTATTGTTGATGATGACTTGTGTTATTCATCGTTGTTGTTGGACTGTGATCCATTCCTTGATTGAGTATGGTTTCATATCTTTGTTGTGATCCGTTGTTTGATTCCTGTTGAGGTGTAGTGTGTGTGGCTGTACCTGGATTGCACTATTAGTGGTATGGGACACTAGTCACCAAGGTACGGTAGTGGTCCTCGTGGTTGCCATGATGTGATTATGGAGTTTGTAACTTGTGTGTCGGGTTCACATATTTCTTGGGAGGCATGTGTTGCCGTATGTGTGATCGGTACCCTCGTGTACTATGAAATTGGTGGTTTGTTGGCGGTCGTTGGCGGATGGGGACGACGGTCCTCGGAGGGAAAAGGTTGGACTTGGTGTACAGGGGTCTTGGAGGTAAAGGCTGGAACTAGATATAAGGTTGGGGGTAGCCATAAGGTTGGAACCAGGCATAAGGAAGGCCTATCAATTCGTGATGGGTGATGTCACGAAGTCTTGTGTAGCCGTTGTTGTGAGTTATCTTCTTGTGACGTGTGCAGTCACAAAGGCATGTGTTGCCTAGGCATGTGTTGCCATTGGTTGTGTCCTTATTCTCTTGAGTTATGCATGTCGGGGGTTAATCTACTGTGTGATGGTAGATTATGCCTTGAGCCGTTCTTGTGAGTCGTTATTACATCTTGTGTCTTGGGATGTGTTCCCGTATTGTTGATTGTCAGTGCTTAGAGTCTTGTGTTGACTTCTGGTCTTGGTTTTGAACTTATATATACATATTCCGTTTCGTAAATGATTTTGTATATATATCTTATCTATGTACGATATTTCGCATGTATTGGTGGGTTACCAGCATTATTCGCTTACCGGGCGTCGTCCCATCTTCTATGTGTTTCTTTTAGGTGATGTATAGACGTGAGCGCGTTCTAGAACCTGCTAGTGTAGCTCCCATGTTTTGTTGTTATGGCCTGTGTGCCAAGGATATACTTTAGTACTTTGGACATGTATGGATTTTAGATTGTAGTTTATGCAGATGTTAGCTTGTGCGTTCACCTCTGGGTGAGCGTGGCATAGCACCCCTTTCGTTTCCAGTTTATATAATCCTTTTCAGTCTTCCACTGTGTATGATGTTTTGTTTAGATATCTGCATGTTTAAGGCTTTAATTATCATGGAAATTAGGGGGTGTTACAGTAGAGGAGAACCGTCATTATGTTGCAGATGACAGCCTGGGACCATGGGAGTACTCACAGGTTTACTTTCAAGAAAGCCTTCCTCAGATAATATCTCCAAAGCATACTTTCTTTGGCAGATATTGAGACCAGATTCACTCATTTTTTCCTCAATACCCAGGAAATATCTAACCTTAGCCAAGTCTTTTATTTTAAAAGCCTCATCAAGAAACATTTTGAGTTCTGCAATCAAGGACATATTAGGACTTGTAATGAGTATGTTATCCACGTAAATGAGCACTGCTATGAAGCTATTATCTTGCCCTTTAGTAAAAAGTGATGGATCAAACTTAGACTGAATAAAGCCTATGTTGGACAGAGCACTGCACAATTTTGCATTCCATTGGCGACTGGCTTGTTTGAGGCCATAAAGTGAGCGCAACAATCTACAAACCTGATTTGTCTTCTCAGTTTGAAATCCCGGAGGTGGGATCATATAAACTTCTTCTGTCAAATCGCAATGTAAAAATGCATTATTTATATATAATTGGTGAATGTGTCATGCCCGAGATGATGCCATTGCAAAAAATATCCGGATGGTTGTTATTCTTGAAACGGGAGAGAATGTCTCAATGTAGTCAATGCCCAACTGTTGAGTGTACCCCTTCGCTACAAGACGTGTTCTATATCTCTTGACGGATCCATAAGCTTTTAGCTTTATTTTGTAAACCCACTTGCATCCAATTGGTAATTCAGTTAACTCCCAGGTGTGGTTATCTTGCAATCCTTGAATTTCAACAGTCATAGGTCTTTTCCATTCATCACTTTTGATCGCTTGATGATACGTTTTTGGTTCAACAATGTTTGTCACTGCCATAGAAAATGCTCTATGAGATGGGATTAGAGTATCAAGAGTAGTCACCTTTGATAGGAGATGTGGTGAAGAGCGTCTACTAACTACAGCTTCACAGTAGTAGTCTTGGAATCGATTGGGAGCACGTCTGTGTCTCTCAGACCTCCTTGGTTGCTCTAAAGGCATGCTACTGACAGTATCTTCTTGTAAACTACACCCTGGTTCAGGTAGCTGCTCTATAGGCACATCATTAGTGTCCCCATTGTCTGCACTAAGTGGCATCAACCTGGAATCCCAGTAGTAACTAACATTTTCCGAATGAGGATTACTACTGGATGAATGTGCGCATGATACTCATAATGAATGGGAGTTGACATATGGATCATAGGGAGTGAAGGTTCCCCAGACAACCTGACGGGAGTTGGCTGCTCATGTGTAACCTCATAAAAAGGAAATTATGATTCATAAAAAATCACATCCCTTTGAAACAAAAAAAAGACTTTCTCATTAATATCATATAGCAAGAAATCTTTTGTGTTGGCAGGTATTCCAACAAAAACACACTTCTTGCTTCGTTCTACCATTTTATGCCTAGAAGGCATTATATTTGCAGTGTAGCATAGGCACCCAAAGACTTTTAGATTGATCAAATTGGGATTCTCCCCATATAATCTGCAATACGGAGTTGTCATGTATATCACCGGAGAAGGTAGCCTGTTTATGACATATACGGCATGCATCACACATTGCCCCCCAAAATTCAAGGGGAAGTGAAGCCTGAAAACGTATAGCTCTTGCAATACTGAGGATGTGTAACACCCCTGAATTTCAACAAATTTTAAAACATAATTTAAAGGGATTAATAGTCTAAACATCAACATAAGAAAAGCGGAAGCTAACTACACAAATCCGGGAGATGCTATGCCACACCTATATCAAACATAGGTGCACAGGCAGATACTACAACTACAACAGTCTAACAAGTCAACTACTTAGGCTCACAGGCCTCAACAACTAATAAAAGAAAAGATAAGACTATCTACAGGCCACTAGCGCGCTCTCCAAAGCTACCCAACCTGTAAAGAAACAAATAGAAATGGGACGACGCCCGATCATCGAATAATGCTGGAAACCCACCAATACCTGTTAAGTATCATACATAAGTAAGATATAGGTTTTTAAAGCCATTTTCGAAACGGAATACATATATATAAGTCCAAAACCAAGAGTAATAGTCAACACAAGACTCAAACACTCTCAACAAGAACACGGGAACACATCCCAAGACTACAAAGAACAACAACGACTCACAAAAAGTCTCAAGGTATAATCTATCATCACACAATAGATTAACACCCGACATGCATAACTCAAAGGAATAAGGACACACCAAACGGCAACACATGCCAATGCAACACATGCCTTTGTGACTACACACGTCACAAGAAGAGAACTCACAACAACGGCTACACAAGCCCTCGTGACATCACCCATCACGAGTTGATATGCCTTCCTTATACCCGGTTCCAACCTTATGGCTACCCCCAACCTTATATCTTCTTCCAACCATTACCTCCAGGACCCCTGTACTTCTTAGTCCAACCTTTTCCCTCTTGGGACCGTCGTCCCCCACCAACAAACCACCAACAAGACCACCAATTTCATACTACACGAGAGTACCGTTCGCACACACGGCGACACACGCCTTACGCAAAACACGTGAACCTGAAAAACAGGTCACAACTCCATAATCACGTCATGGCCACCACGAGGACCACTGCAATACCTTGGTGACTAGTGTCCCATACCACTAATCATGAAATCCAGGTAAGGCCACACTGTAACACCCCGTGTTACGACCCCTAAGATCAATTAAATCATCTAATCAATTACCCAAAAGAAAGAATTAAATCACAATAATTAATTAGGAGGCCCACCATAGTCCACGGGCCCTTATCCCTAAACCCAATCCCTAGTCCCAAAAGAAATAGAATTAGCAAGCCCATAATAGTAGTTCCTAACTACGACTCCTAAATATATAAATAGGGGACTTAAGAGGCACCTAGAAACCCCCCACCACAATAAACGCCCACCACCCCAAAGAGCTCCAAGAATCCCCTAGAAGAAATCAAGAAAGCAAGAAAGCTTAAAGAAAGACCCTTCATAGCCAAGGAATTAAATAAAGGCTAAGAGGTAACCCATGTCTCAACAAAACCTATTTTCGTAGCTATGATTTCCCCCGTAGGATTTCCCCATATTATTGTGTATTAATGACTTGTGATGATTATGATTGATGATTGATGTGATGATCCCATGGGGGATCTTGATAATCTTGATATTGGGAGATTCTTGATAATTATGATGTTCTTGATGATTATATGGAGTTCTTGATGATTATGTGTTGTTCCTGATAATTGTATGACGCCCTTGATGCTTATGTGTTATTCTTACCGAATCTTGCAATTAGAAGGCGAATCGTATTCTTGTTGATATAAAAGTGATTAGAACCCTAGGTTGTATCGTATGATGTTATTCTTGGGTTATCGGGTGGGGTAATCGCATGTTTGGGTATTGATTATGCTTAGAAAAGCATGATAGGTTATGTGCCGTACATTTCTCGTATTTGATCCGTTAATTGTCTACGTGTTGTCGTTGATTGCGTTGCAAAGTGTCTAAGCATGGTTTCGGGTTCCACAATGGTTCCCGGGGCGAATTTGTGTGATAAGAGTCAGTGGGGGGTAGGTGGGGGTAGGGGACCCGCCACCTACCCACGGCCGGAATAGTGATCCCGGCAGCGGGCAGCCGGCGGGCGGGCAGCTACCCGCTGGCGACCCGCTGCCCGGAATAGTAAATCCGTCGGGCAGCCGGCGGGTGGCCCCCACCCACCGGCTACCCGCTGGAATTTTCCCCATCTTGGGTTCCCGGCTTCCCCGTTTGATGTTTCCCCGTCCCCCGTGGTGTCCCAACGGACTCCGTTAATCGTGCCTATGTCTAGCTTGATATTTCGGGTACCGTTCGTAGGTTTATGAGTCTATTATATTGCATGCTAGTTGAATTGGTATCCCGTTGACCTAGGTGGAAGAAGTATGAACCCCTTAGGACTATTCCTAGTATGTGATGGATCACGCATAGGTTTTGTTATACGTTTCCTCCCCCTTCCCAATGTGTTAATGTGGGTTGCATGTACTTGCTATGTGTTATGTGTGCATGTAACCCCGAGTTGGTTAAGATCAATCGGGCTATACGGGCAGTCGGGTGGGCTGAGAACCGTACCGGCTGTTAACCAGGCTGGTAGAGACCGGTAAGGTATATAAATATTATATAGGACTAAGTTCCACTATACGGGCAGTCGGGTGGGCTGAGAACCATACCGACTGTTAACCAGGCTTGTAGAGACCGGTCAGGTATATAAATATTATATAGGACAAAGGTCCACTATACGGTTAGTTGAATGGGCTGAGAACCATCCCAACTGTTAACCAGGCTGGTAAAGACCGGTCAGGTATATAAATATTATGTAGGACAAAGGTCGATCAGTCGGTTGCGATCGGCTCCTCCGTAATGTGAGACGGGGCAGGGTGCTGCGGGGCCGTGTCAGAGCTATATGCGCTGACCCTCATGTATGGGCATGCGATTGGTCCTGTGGCGCCAACAAAGTGTGTTATGTGATGAGATATGGAGGAGTTGTGTTTATGAGTATATTGGGGGATGTGACTAAGGGGTTTATGCTGAGGATTGTTTATGTTGGGTTGTGATTATTAATTGTGCTTATCTTTATCTGTCTTACCTGTTGTGGATCATATACGCTGGTTATAACTGTTGCTTGTGTGTAGCCTTATCTGTCGAGTCATTCCCGGTTTTTAAAGCTAGAGTCTCGTAGGATATATCTTCATGCTTCGAAACGAATTTTCGTATATCTATATATATATATATATATATATATATATATATATATATATATATATATATATATATATATATATATGTAATGTATTTCAACACGTTGGAGTGGGTTACCAGCATCTCTCGCTGAACAGATATATTTGGCTTTCAGGCACAGAAGGTTAAGTCACTGGAGTGCGCTAGAGCTTGGATCATAGAAGTAGTTAGTTTCCCTTTCGGCCTGCGTGCCACGTTTATGCATTCATATCTTTGAGACATTAGTTAGTTAGCCTGTGCACCTGAGTTCTCTAGCTCAGGTGTGGCATAGCACCCCGTACACTCGTACTCTGTTGGGATTTAATGAGATTGCACCCTTAATTTATAAGTTTTAAATATCTTGAAAATCTGGGGTGTTACACACACACACATCACACCACAACAGGAATCAATCAATGGATTACAACGAAGATATGAAACCATACTCAATCAAGGAATTGATCACAGTCCAACAACAACAACGATGAATAACACAAGTTATCATCAACCAATAGGAAGGTACAAACAACACACATGCTAGCATTTAAACACCGAACTAGCATGCTTATCAAACGGGTAAACCAAACGTAGTTCCGAGGAACACACAAGACTCATCACAGTTCAACGACACACAATGTTGAACACTTAGCACGATTCAAGACACCAAACCTACATGGATTCCTACCATATAGTTCTAGACATACGAAACATCAAGAAGACGCTCAAATAGTTCCACAAAAGAACATCGGGAAGTCAAAAGACCAAATACCGAGTCAAAAGAATCATGGGAACAAATCTCCAAACAACGCCAACATGTTCCCTGCGGGTGGACCCTCGGGTAGGCCCCTACCGTGGTTCCGCCCGCGGGTACCAACACCCACAAGCCACGTTCCCGCGGGTGGGGCGGCGGGTAGGGCTCTGCCCGCCGTTCCGCCCGCGGGTACAAACCTGTGCCCAAAATAATCCCTTTGGGGATTTTCAACACCAAGCTCAAATTCAAGTCCAAAACATGCCAAATCTCACCAAATACAACAAAGTGACTTGAATCAAAGGAATAGCCAAGCAATGGCATACAAGAACCCTAAACACAAGCTCTAGATATGCATTTTCACAAGACAATGCATAAACACTCACATTTCATAGCAAAACACATGTAGAATCCAAGAAATATTCACATAGGTAAGCAAAATAGATTTTGTAGAGCATGGGTTACCTCAATCGCTTATCCAACCAAAACAACCCCAACATAGGCTAGGCTCAACTCATAAGCCAAACGGGAACCTGAGAATTAAACCGAAATAACCCCAACATAGGCTAGGCTCAACTCATAAGCCAAACAGGAACCTGAGAATTAAACCGGATCTGAACTATTAACAAAGGTACTAAACAAAAGTAATTATGCTCATAAGGGGAATTAAGCCCTAAATCTTTCCTTAATTACCCACAAGCTTAACCAACTAAGCTAAGCATACTATTAGTAATTTAATCACAACATAATTACACTAATAGATAAGCTAATAACCATACTTAAGATGAACTTAGTAATTAAAACAACTAACAAGGTTTAACTAATTAAGCTATGGTGAGGTTCAAACCCTAGTTACTCACAAACCTAACCATACACCTTACCACCAAGCTAAGATGGTTCTTATAAACCTAATTAAACAAAAACTAACTAATACTAAACTAAACATCAAAGACAAAGAAAGAGGCTCACCATCTTCTTCTCTTCTTCACGCCATGCAACTGCTCCCGCGGGTGGAACGGTGGGTGCCTCTGCCTGCGCCACTGCCCGCGGGGTACACCACCAAACACACCGCCGGAAACGCAAGAGAGGGAGACTGTCGGAACAGGGGATACGGTCGCCGGAGTTGCTGCCCTGCTCCACACTCCGTCTTCACCGCTCGCCAACCCGTGAACAAGCTTCTGACATAGCCAAATCCGGGTCTTCGCTGCTGCTCGTCTGCGAGGCTGCTGAAGAGCTCCACCACTGACGATGCTCTGCCCACACCGGAGCTACCGCACCTATAACTGGGAGGGGAGCTTCGCGTCGGAAAACGGGGAACGCCGCCGACGCCTTGTCGTCGACCAGCGAGAGGATGATGTCGCCGGACTGCTCTGCTTGAAGATGCCCTTCAAGCTGCTGCCTCACCTCCTCGACACCGCCGTAGGAGCTCATCGGAAGGAGACCGAAACTACCCAAGCTACCTCGCCGGACCTACTATCTGCTTCCCGATGCTAGCTACTGGAACTTCCGAGGTAAGGCAAACGCCAACCATCTTCATCTTCACAATCCAACGTTTGTTGCTTGGCCGAGAGGAGGAGACGGGAAAACGGGTGGGGTGTTTGGCTGCTGATGAGGACTTAGAAAGGGAATGATGCAATGCTTCCACATACACACTAGATGGTAGGGTTATTCAATGAATGGGTTGGTTTAGGAAGTTGGGTTGGGTAACATAGGTTAGGCTTAAACACTTTAGGCTCACAAAATAATAATACTTATATTTATGCATACATATGGGCTCAACTTGTGGGGTTCAAGACTTATATAATATATAGTCTTAGGATAATTAAGCACTTGGGCTCAAAGAATAATTACTAGGCTTTAGCAATTAAAACTCATTTTGGGTCTAGGCATATTTTGTACAAAAATATTGGTTCACCATAATAGGTAGACCCGAGCCCGTTTTAAAATAAATAGCTATATATAAATATTTTTATTAAAAATATTTATTATCGGGACTATAATTTATTTTTAGGAAAATACCGGGTGTCACAGGATGCGCTGATGCTTTCTCTCGACAATTGCATTTTGTTGCGGGTATACACACATGACGTTTGATGGATTACTCCTTTTTCTGCAAAATACTCGAACATGTTAAATTTTGCTCCATTATCTGTCCTAATGACTTTGATCAAGCCTCCAAACTGTGTAGATACCATCGTATGAAATCTCATCAAATGCTGTCGGGTTTCAGACTTGTTTTTCATCAAGTGTAACTAGGTGAATCTAGAGAAATCGTCCACAAAGGTTAAGAAGTAACGTTCTCCCTGCAACGAAGAGACAAAAAATGGTCCCCATATATCTGTATGTAAGAGATCAAAGCATGCTTTCGAAGAGGTAATACTTTGGGGAAAGGGAGCCCGTTTGTGTTTAGCAAGTTTGCATACATCACATGGCATGTTTTTAGTACTGTGGACATTTATATCATTCACAAACTGCAATTTATTCATGGGGAAGTGGCCTAATCTCTTGTGCCAAAGTTCAACACTATTACAATATGATTCAAGATTGTTGTGGATTACATTCTGTATCCCTGTGGTTTCTTGTAGCAAGTATAAGCCATTTTCCTGTCTAGCTATACCAACAATCCTCCCATGCGCGTCTTGAATCAGACATTGTTCAAATGTGAATGCCGATTTATAACCGGTATCCTTCAAAAGCTTACTCACAGAAATTAGGTTGAACCGGAAAGTTGGAATATGTAAGACATCTTTCAACCACAAATCTTGGCTGAATTTAATACTCCCTGTATGTTTAACAGCAATAGAATTCCCCGTAGGCAAATTTACCTCAATTCCATGAACTATATGATAATTATTAAAGCACCCTAGGTCATAGGCTATATGATCCGTAGCTCCCAAGTCTAGGATCCAAGTAGTAGATGATAGAGATATGGAGTTGCCAAGATAAGTGAGGTACTTACCTTCCTTTGGAGTGCTATCTGCTTCAAATTTTGGAACCAACGAGATAGCAGCAGCAGTGGTTTTAGTGGATGAAATTTGCCCAATCTGGTTCTGAAGCAGAGATATCACTTGCTTCTTAAAGTACTTATCACCCTTTGACTTGTAACCGGGAATCCATCCTAGGGGGTAACCGTGCTTCTTAAAGAACTTATCAATTGTATGACCGCTCATCCCGCAGTATGTGCACTTAGCACCTTTGTTTGGATTGCCATTGCGTTTACCAGTGTAGGTGTTTACTGCTGCTGTCATCTCATGTTCATTCTGCACAGCGTTAGCTTGTTTAGCTTCGAAATATCCTGAGGTTAGATTGGCTAAGGTAATCCACCTCTCTAGCTTCTCAGCCATAACGAAAACCTTGTAGACTTCAGGAAGTGGATCAAGAACCAAAACATTATATTTCAAACTGTTAAAATAATCTAGGATTGCATTTACATACTGGAATAGGCCTCAATGCATTCATCTCTTCCCATAACGTATGGCACTTCGTATAATACTTGTTTACAGAACGAGAGCCCTGCTTTAGGGTGAAGATTTCATTCTGTAGAGCTGAGATCTTCTGCGCATCACACTTAGAGAACCTGCGCCGTAGATCTTCCCAAACATCATTTGCTTTGTCCAAATGCATTATGTTATGAGCGATCGAAGCATGAACGGATTTAAAAATCCAGGCACAAACCATAAGATTGCAACGTCTCCACGCTACAAACTGGAGATCATCCCTGTTAGGTGCGATAATGCTTCCATCTACGTTATGGAAGCTCTGATACCATGATGGGAAACAGAGCGCATGCGAGGAGAGAGAAAGAGCTTCTGGTTTATTTTCATGAAAATTGAATTGATACAGCGGGAAAGCAAATTACAGTATATGTATGAAAAGAGAAGCGGTTACAACAAAATGTAATATGACAAGATTACCCTTCGACTCATTTTCCTTTTGCATTCTCTATTAAGACGGGTCGGGACTTTGATTAGTGGGTCAAATCTTTGATTAATGGGTCGGATCTTTGACTTCATTAATCAAAGATCCGACCCGTCTCACGGATTGAAACCCGTGAGACGGTCTTACACAAGTTTTTGCATAAATATATATATATATATATATATATATATATATATATATATATATATATATATATATATATATATATATATATATATATATATATATATATATATATATATATATATATATATATATATATAGGGAAGGGTTCAGGTGCGGGTATAGCTTCCCGTGCGGTTAGATCTGAGCCGTTGATCAAATTTAGACCAACGGTTCAAATCAATGAAAATTAAAAAAAAAAAAAAAAAAACACACGCGTATCTGGAAGAAAGAAGCATAAGCTAAAAATGGTGCACCCTTAAGTGATAGAAACACACACCTTAAGTGTTAGATCTTAAGCACAAACTCACGCACATTAAGTACAAAACCCACACACATTAAGCACAACCTCACGCACATTAAGCACAAAACCCACGCACTTTAAATATTAACTCACAGACTTTAAGTTTCAAAAAGTACTGACATTAAGCACAAACTCACGCACATTAAGTACAAAACTCACGCATATTAAGCACAACCTCACGCACATTAAGCACAAACCCCTCGCACTTTAAGTATTAACTCACAGACCTTAAGTTTCAACAACTACTGACATTAATCATTAACCTCACACACATTAAGCACAAACCCTACGCACATTAAGCACAAACCCTACGCACATTTAGAAAAAATTGGTAGAGTTTAGGTATGAAGAAAATATAGGATAATGAAGAAAAAAATAATTTTATTGAATTTAGATAAGTTTATAAAGTTTAAATCGAGAGAAAAAATAGAGTTTAAATAGAAAGAGAAAACATTAAAGAGTTGGTAGAAAGAAAATGTTGAAATCTTGGGGTTGATGGTTGGATTTCAACTATTTATATTTGAAAAGGAAAACTTTACAAAAGTCCTATAATTAAAAAGTCTACAAACATAACTTTTTGAATACTGCATGACTTTTAAATACTCTTTAACACGGAATGTTAGATTACCTTAGGAAATGTTAGATTCCTGGAAATGTTAGATTATTGGGAATGTTAGATTCATGTGTTTGGTAAAAATTAGGTTATATAATATAAACCTGTTTGGTTGATGAATTGTTGGGAATGTTATAGTGGTTATTTTACCTTAATGGCCTCATATTACAAATCATCTTGCAAAGTGAAGGGCAAATTTTGTAAAATAGCAAGGGAATCTTATATTACCTAAGGAGAGGAAGGTTATCACATTCCCTCAAAATTATGAAAAAAGCTGAGGTGGAGGGTAAATAACATTCCATGGGAAAGTTTGATCACTTCAACCAAACAAAGGAATCTTGTATAACTAGCCAAATATAACCTTGGTTATCCTAGATAACCCGAATCAAACGTCCCCCTAAAAGTTTTAATCGAATACCACCCGACATTTAAAGACTCTTTATAAATCTTAATTGAATACCACTTGACTTTTAAAGACTCCCTAAAAGTTTGAATTGAATATCTCCAAACTTTTAAAGTTTTTAAAAGTCTTTAAGACTCTATGAAAATCATGATTGAATACACCCCTTAATTAATTACACTATTTTTTATAAGTTTATGAGTTGAATTGAAAATTTTGTTACATTTTAATAGCTTAATTGTTATTTTAGACAAAATATTTGACCTTTTATTTTTGTATTTTTAAAGTGCAAGGTGTATGACTTCTAAATAAGATATGTCTTAGTGGGACAATATTTAATTAGACCTTTTATCACATCAAATAATACTCAGAATTAAATTTAGTTTATAAAATGATATGCTAATCTTTGTAAGTGCGTGGAATGATATGTTATGTTAAAGATAATCTTATCATAGAATATGGCATCTTTTTAATGCATTCTCCAATCTAAGCATTGTTCAACGGAAAATAATAAGTGGCTGGATTCTTTGGGATAAAACTCTCACTAAGTGTTTTGAATTTATTATAGAAATAAGAAAATAAATAACTAAAAATTGTGACTCAATTTTTTTTTTTTTAGGTGAATCAAAGTGTATATGTAAGCAAGGGGTAGAATATTGAGTAACAGGTGGAAACACGTGTAATATTAATCTTGTTCAACTTTATAGTGTATATGTGACACAATTTGTAGTCTACAAGCTAGAGTATTTGTATTACAAAGTCATTATTGAACTTGTTCTTTCGTTTGTTATATTTGTATAATAGGGTCATTGATTGAAATAATGCATAAATTTGAAAACTCATTGTCTAAATATGTAAATTGAAAAAAATGGGCATTTTTGTGTTTTTTTTTTTTTTTTTTTGAAGTATTAGCATAAAAATGACACGTGAGAGTAGTCATTTGAGATATTGTTTTAAGTGGAGTTCACTATCAATTTTGGTTAGGTCAAAGTGATGACTTCGTTTTGAGTGGGGTTCATTGTGATTTCAATCAAGTCAAGGTGAATTTAAATTCTTTTACTTGAGGATAAGAATTTCATATATTTATACACTCAAAACAGATAACTGTTTTTTTCTTCGGTTA